CCCCCCCCAATTTCTCATAGAACTGCTCGATCATTTCATTTTCAAAATGCTGCGCTGGGCTGTAAGCTAGGGTGTTCCTTCTTTTGTCCATCTCTAGAAATAGAACTTCCCTGCGAAGTGATATAATATCGCAACTCAGTACCAAATGGAACAGACTTCCTTTTTATTATGAATCCAACGCCACCGGTATGATTTTGGTACTCGAAGGCTTTCCTGAGGAACACTTGGTCACCGTTGTTTCAATGCGCAATCAGTTCGGTAGATCTTCGAATATCCAAACGAGGTCTTCTCTGTGTCCCTCCTCCGTACAGGCGTCGATAAATGAGTCTGTTGATAGCGTTACTGCATTACGACGGGCCATTAATAATGACAACTGGAATTCGTTTACGAACTGCGAATTGTGGCATACCGAATCGTAGGTGTTGCTCAGGCTGGCGCGGTGATCAGCACATATTTTTCCAGTTTTCTTCATTCTTTAAGCGCCTTTTGGCGAGTAACTGGTTGACCGTTCATTTCGGGTATCAATCCTCCTGAAGCATCACCAATGTCTCCTTAACCTTCATCCAGCGCAACGGATTGAGAGAAACAGAGCACCTCACCTTGTGATGGCCACGAAAAGATATCGTTGCCAAATGACGGATACCAACACCGCTTAAACCTACAGGAATGGATTCCCTCGCCACTTCCAGGCCCTTACGTAGATGGAGCGTTATGGTATTAGCTATACGATCTTTTGGCAAATGAAGGTTGGCTAACCCAGCCTAAACTTGAACCATTTCTCAAATCGACCTGACTGCAGTGCGTATGTGCAATTATACCCATTTCTTCCCGTTTCTCGCAGCGGAAACCAATTTCGAACTTTTACTTTAAATGAGCTGTGAAAGAGAATACACATTTATAGAAGATATATTTATATTTAAGAATGTGCTTACTTTTCACCTGCTTTCGGATACTTTTATCCAAATCAAGCCAGTTCTAAAACGTCACATAGACCGGTATCATGAAATTTCAAAACATTACACGCCGATTCTGGGCATCAGGATAGCAAAGACCAAAATAATCTTTTTCGAGAAGATTTAGTTTCTTCGCAGCTTCATCAAATGCGTCACGACCAGTTGGACCTTTCTAAAATGCACATATTAGTCATTACAACTGAGAGCATAATATCGTTATTGAAATCCAACATCAAATTTAACCAATGTTGGCTAGTAAGAAAGCTCGCACACACTGCAGGTGCGAAAGC